CCAGTGTTGGGCTTTACATGCTCTACAAAATGCAAAAAAGAATGGGTCTCTAGCATTAACGGTTCCCGAATTAGAGACAGTTTTCAGTTTCGGTATCTTATGGCCGCTACTCCTGTGAAAATGCACCGATTGACCCCAAATTCACGGAGATGAAAGATGACCTGAAGGGTAACACTTTCCAATAATATTATTGGTTAAGTCTGTGTGGTGTCTGAATAACAGGGCAAAAAATTTTTTTTTCGTAAAAAATTTCATTTTTTTGAAAATTTTGGCCCATTTGACCTTGAAGTAAAGGTCAAAGGTCAAATCCGAGGGTATATTTGAAATCTACACATATGACTTTTGGAAAGCCGTCTGTAGAAATTTTTCCCGTAACTCCTTCCGTAGGGTAGATAATTAGCATTTAATTTTGCCATTTTTGGACAAGGGTGCATTGCAATGAGTGCCACACCCAGACCCCAATACCGACAAAGCCCAAATTTTACGTGGAACGAGTTGAGATTATAGGTGACCTAAATCCATGAGATGGGTATGGGGGGCCTTACCGTCTAGGAGGAGAAGCGGTAACGGTAGCCGTCCGGCGGAGCCGGCGGAGCCGGCGGAACGATCCGGACGAGACCGAAACCATGTGTACCGCCAGCGCTAACGCTGGTGGTACAATAAGCATTGATCTGTAAGTTTATAAATTGTATATATCTTAAATAAAAAAGGATGCTGTTTCATTACTTCCTTGTAATTCACTGTGTCTCTTATATCTGTAAAAGAAATAAATGAGGTAATCAGTGATCCAATCCATTACATATAAAAGCAAAGGTTTCTTGTTTTCTTTTTATATCAAAAGAAAAAATATTCATAAAGCATGATGTTCCAAGCAAATCTTTTCTCTTCATTTCACCAGAAAAGTACACAATGTCAGTGATTCCCAAGTGACTTTATGATACATTTAAACTTACACAACCACTGTACATTTATAATGGGTCATTACCTATGTTGGCAGGGTATGGTACTTCATGAACAGCTGGGTCTAAATTAATGACATAAGGTGGGGTTTTCTTAGTATGAAGATGTGCCGTTATTCTCTGAAATGAAAAATAAGAACTATGAACAATATCAATTGATATCTTTTACTGCACATGGAACCTTAGGAGAGGGCTCTCTCTCTCTCTCTCTAAAAAAATAATAAAATAAAATAAATAATAATAATAATAACCTTTGGCATTCTTATCTACATGTCTGATGTTCACTGTTGTGGTAAGATGTACAGTGGAAATAAATCAGTACTTCCTCCTCCACTTGTAGTTGGAATGGAACATCTTCAAGTTTACCTTTTTTTCCCATGGTCTGCCACCCTACCTTCTGTTTTAAAGCCAATGGATTTAACTGCTGATTGAGACAAGTTTTGAAAAACTGCATTTACTCCTATTTAATAGTTGATGATATGCACTGCTTTTAGAAAATGCACTATGCACTACCAATTGAAAACATATTTTGATTTGTTGATAATACCAGGGGGTGGTTTTACCTCAAGAGCAGTGCATACTTAGTCACATTTTTCATTTTTCTTTGTCAGGATCTATACAACTTTTGTTTTAACAACAATTCAACGCCATGGCTACAGAAAAAGGATTGCTGTGCACGCAATAAGTGAAAGACCGATTGTGGGTAATTGTTATTTGACGGGACAAACAAACCCAAACGACAGACTTTACTGGCAGTTCTGTAACAAGTCATGCAACTATAAATCCGTTTTAAAAAGAAAAGTACTCACTTAGTTATAGCATGAAAGCAACTGGCATCACAGTATCAAGATGTGATGATGAACAACTCGTGAAATTCTGAAGTGTTAGACATTCCTTCAAACATCACCGCCAAAAAATTTGATGTTTGCTCTTCATATCTGCACATTATACTGAAGCTTTTGGTTATTTATTGTTTTCTATCGCCTACTATAATAGATCAAAATCTACACATAGATCTTGTAAACACCTAAAAAGTATCATATCATATCATATCTTTAAATATAATTAGAGACTAAAAAGATATCAATTGAAACAACCTTTATGAAAATATTAAGTAAGAGAATTGTAGACAAGCAAGTGGATTTGGATGACTGAATCTATGCATCACAAATTTTCAGTTAAACATAAATCAGTTTTGATTTATTTTTGCCTTGTGTTAGAAATATATAAGCATACTGAAGTAACCAATCAAAGTTCTTTTTAGTTTTTCATTGTAAACAAAAGTGAGATTATTTGATATGATCAAAGACATATTCCATAACACACACTGTGTTGATTAAACTCTACAATGTTATAATGTACACACACTGTGTTGATTAAACTCTATAATGTAAAACTAAACAATACTAGTACTAATAATTATGATCAAAATTGGGCTAGTCTTATGCTTTTTTCTTTTTAGTTTTTTTTAAATTTTCAAAAGTAAAGTTGCCAGCCATGTCTTAATTGGTAGATGAACCTAAAAACCATGGAAAACGACTTTAGAAAACAACAATAGTCAATCTTAATAAAAAGAAAAATAACAGACCAAGATCTGTTAAGTATTATTAAATGGAAGCTTATGAACCAGAAAATTTGACCACACATGATAAAAAATCAAAAAGATGAGAAAAAGCCCAGTCGCAAGTAAACAGAGCGATATAAAAGTGAAATATAATACTAGGTAAATCAGTATGACCCGTTATCAGGGGTACTCCTAGAGAGGGGTGAGAAACTGCCATTGTTCTCGTCAAAGAAGCTTACCCTTTTCAGGGTATGTACGCACAGACAAAAAAAAACATGAATTGTGCAACTGTTACTAATGAAGCCACTGGTAGTACTAGTAGATATCAGTTTTTAGTTTTGAACAATGTGTGCCGCAAAGGCAAAGCCCTAATTGCCCCTGAAAGTTACAACCCAAGTGTATTGTGCTGTGTTGTTCCGAGACCAGGCTCGTATTAATCATAAAAGTAACATGTTTCCACCCCCTGGTATCATGGGTCATCTGCCATATTGTGAAAAAGAGCCACTGGCAAACATGGTGGATGACCCAACAATACATAAGCCATGTCGATTTGTTAAGTTGTATCAACAATTTTAATTACCTAGTGATATATTTCACTTAAGTTTTGATGACAAGAGAAGTTGTTGAAGTGCCCCCAGAATTGTTTTCTCTAGTATATTGCACCGTGTTGCATTGCATTGCACTGTATTTGGCATTTAAGTAAGAATGTGAAACTTCAAAGTTCAATTGCTAGTTTATTTTTACTTTAATATTATTTTTAATTTATGTTAAAACAATATTATATTTATTGCGATTTTATCAAATTCGTGTAACAATACTTAACCGATTCAAGCTTTTTGTCCTATCGTAGACTTGCGTAGACTGTTCCAGGGTTACTTCTTTAGGTCTTGTTTTCTTTGGTATTTATGTCTAATGACAGCTCTAGGTGTCTGCCGAGCGAGAGTTTTGGTTCACTTTAATCAAATTCTCCTCTTCAAGACTCAAGTGCTTTTGTGATTATCTAATCTAATGCAAAGATATGAACTGAGCGTACCTGAACAAATGTCGTCTTTCCTGAGCCTGCCATTCCAAGTATAATTATTACAGTTGGTTTTGATGATTTATCCTGCATTCCACCTGTTGCAGTGTCGCTTTTTTCCTCCTGTGTTGAACCCATGCTTTCGCCAGCGGATGTTGCCATTGTTACAGAGTTCAGTACTTTTTCGAGAGATAAATTCGTATATGATTTTTATTGGAAGACGTAATAAAACTACAAAATTGATGTCCATTTAGTCATTAATTATATTTAAAGATATTATATGATACCTTTTTGGGGGTTTAAAAGTTCTGTGTCTAGATTGTGATATATTATAATAGGCGATACAATGCAATAAATAACCAATAGCTTCAGTATTATGCGCAGATGTGAGGCGCAGACGTCAAATGTTTTGGCGGTGATGTTTGAAGGAATGTCCAACACTCCAGAATTTCACGAGTTGTTCGTCATCACATCTTGATACTGTGATGCCAGTTGCTTCCATGCTATAACTAAGTGAGTACTTTTCTTTTTAAAACGGATTTATAGTTGCACGACTTGTTACAGAACCACCAGTAAAGTCTGTCGTTGGAGCTTGTTTACCCTGTCAAATAATAATTAGCCACAATCGGTCTTTCACTTCTCGCGTGTGCAGCAATCCTTTACCTGTAGCCGTGGCGTTGAATTGTCGTTAAAACGAAAGTTGTTTAGATCCTGACAAAGAAAAATGAAAAGTGTGACTAAGTATGCACTGCTCTTGAGGTAAAATTTTATTTAAGTTACAATGTATTTATTGGCTTTCAATAAAAGTTTCATATTTATTCAAATGGTGTCAGGATTCTTGACCACAAAGGATGCTGCAGGCAGTAACTGACAATCAAGACTATGGACAATTATCATGTGTTAGAGCTGATAGGAGAGGGATCCTTTGGAAAGGTGTACAAAGGCAGGAAGAAATACTCAGGACAGGTGAGTGCCCACTATGTACAATGAACACTGTCAACATCCTTACAGTGTATTTGAAAAGAACTCAGGCCTTTTAATGTAAATCAAGTACACAGAAGTTGAAAGAAAATATTACCAAAGTAAATAAGTTTTTTGTAGCCCAAACAAAGAAATAGTAACATATGGATTTTTGTGCTCGGGTGATACAAATCTTTAGCTAATGTGAGATCTATTTTTGAACTAGGTTTTCCATGCAATGAATTTTACTTAAATGTTGTGTATCCTTTAGGTTGTGGCACTGAAGTTTATTCCCAAAACTGGAAGATCTGAGAAAGAACTAAAAAACTTGAGGAAGGAGATTGAAATCATGCGAGATTTGCACCATGAAAATATTATAGAAATGTTGGATAGTTTTGAAACTGAAAAAGAGGTACACATATATCTCTTGGTGCTTAATTTGGAGATTTTTTTAAAAAGAGGAACTTACTTTACAATGCCAAAGACTGATTATTAATCATATTCTATCAAAGTTTCCTTATTAATGTCTTCTCAGTCATTAGATAATGAATCAATACTATTGAATAATGTTTATATCAGGTTATTGATTTCTATACAGGTAGTTGCTGTTACTGATTATGCAGAGGGAGAGCTCTTTCAGATTCTTGAAGATGATGGGAGTTTACCAGAGGAACAGGTACATGGAGGGTACCAAGATGATGAATATGGCATTCAGATTAATCTTAGTGTAAAATTCAAGCCGCTTTCAGTGAAATATTGAAGTTGTTTTAAATATTTCAATATGTGCAGTAGACATTTAACAGCCATCAAAATTAAGAATGAACATTATATATAATAATAACATTTAATGGTTGCTCTACAAATGTTATAGCATACTTGTTTAAATTTTCTTGAATGAAAAGTAATCTTGAACAAACTGACATCAAAAAATGTCCAAAGGTTAAAATATTTGATATATTGACATTGTTATTTATTGACATGAAGAGTTTTATATTTGTCTGATTGGTTTTATTTTTCAGGTGGGTTTAATAGCCTGTCAGCTGGTGTCAGCACTATTCTACCTTCACTCTCATAGGATCTTGCACAGAGACATGAAGCCACAGAATATCCTCCTAGGAAAAGGGGGTGTAGTCAAACTGTGTGATTTTGGGTTCGCAAGAGCTATGAGTATTAACACTCTGGTACTTACATCTATAAAGGTGAATAGAGTATTGAAATATTGAGACTATTTTGGGACTATTGTATAGTGACTTTTACATCCCATTTCCATAGATTTTTAGATCAATCTATCCCTGTGGGGAGTCTCACTAGATTATTGTCAGCTTGGCCGGCTTAAGTGTCTGTCCCGCCTACTAAAAGCTGTAAGGGGGTAATTAACTATGGTGTCTGCTCGGCTGACTGCTATTTAGCGTGAACCCCCAGGGAGTTAGGTCGATCTAAATCTTAATCTTTAGATCGATCTAAATCTCTGGGAAAGCACTCTTATATAGTGATTAATCATTTGAAAACAGTATTAACATATTTTTATCGTCATTGAGTTATACATGGGGCGGATATGCTGTCACTGCTAAATTATAGATTAAATGTGTTCTTGATGAATATAATACTTGCATTTTCATGTATAACCTGCAATATTTATTGAAGCTGCTTTACGTAATTCACAAGTGTATCAGCAAGCTGGGTTCATGTATCTGTAATCTCTTTGCAGGGGACACCTCTATACATGTCACCTGAATTGGTTGAAGAAAAACCATATGATCATACAGCAGATTTGTGGTGAGTATCCACAGTGTGCAGAACAAAGTTTTCCCTTTTAATAAGTTGGGCATGGGAAGGTAGGCCTATGTTAGGAATGCCTAAGAAAAGAATTGTTTTAACTTTGGAGAGTGCTGTGCTAGCTATTTTGATCTTTAACTTCTTTAAATGTTAAAAAAATCAAATAAGCATCTGAAAGTTTTATTGAGCTAAATATCTCCTTTGTTTCCAGGGCTCTGGGTTGTATCCTGTATGAACTGTTCACTGGACAGCCACCTTTCTATACCAACAGTATCTTCCAGCTTGTCAGTCTCATCATCAAAGATCCAGTCAAATGGCCAAAGAACATGTCCCCACTTTTCAAAGACTTTTTACAGGGGCTGCTGACCAAAAACCCACAAAATAGATTGTCATGGCCAGACTTATTGGATCATCCTTTTGTGGCAGAAGGGATCAATGGTTAGGAGAAAAAATGTTTTGTGTGTGGGTCATTAATTTACAATATTGATTGCTTTGATGATTATAGTTTTCATTAAATATTGAATATTTTAAGCAATATCTTTTGTAAAGGATATGCTTAAATTTGTATTGAACATCGTTCTTTTTTTAACCAGTCTCTGAAGAAGATTTAAATATGGACAGTCCTTTCACCAAGTCACCTACTGCCTCACTGGTGTTTGCAAAGGAGAAGCAAGCTAAAGAAAAAGCAAATGTCCCAGGAACATCTAAGATTTTAAGTAAGGCCAGAAAAGATGCTGCCAAGAAGGTGAGTCCTCCCTTGCACACTCCCTCAACCAGCTCATTCTCCAGAGAAGATTTTGCTTTTTCAGGTGTTTTCATCAGCAAAAATGGTGAATAGGATTAACATACAACACAATGATATTGTAGAGAATGTTGATTTATTAATGTTATTGTACTAGTTTTAGAAAAAAAAACAGCTGAATATGGCTGTATTCCCAGAGCTTTTAGATTGATCTATCCCCATGGGGATAATGCAGCTTAAATGTCCATCCTGCCTACTACAAGCAGTAAGGGGGTAATTAACTTTCGTGTCCGCTCAGCTGACAGCTATTTAGCGTGAACCCCCAGGGAGTTAGGTCGATCTAAAGTAGATCGATCTAATCTCTGGAAATAGGGTCTATGATGTTTGTAATGGCAGTCATATTAATTTTGTCTCTAACCTTCAGGGTAAGCCAGTAAAGCAGCCTGGGGGATGGGTTGGTGGAAGCCAGGGAGGAGCTGGAGAGGCCATGACTACAGCAGACAAAGAAAAAGCATTGTCACAAGAATGGAACAAAACAGAAGCCAGCAAGGTGTGTGTGTGTGTGTGTGTGGGGGGGGGTGGGGGGGCTGGGGGGTAGACAAGTACAGAAAATAAGTATGATTTATGTCCTGCATGTATGATGAATTTACAACATGGGTAAAAAATGTCTGTGAGGAATTGGTTTTGAAAACTAAATCATTTTTAATATGTTTTTAGAAGATTCTTGATGTATGTATTTTTGCACATATGCACAATTGCACTCAGAGTTATGTGCCAGGATCATTTGGCTGAGAGGACCCACTAAATACATACTTTAGGTATGGAAATTGTGTAATTGAAACTTTAATCTCCTCAGATGGTGAACCCCACCCCCCGTGCTGATCGCATCAGTAAGGACTATGAAAAAGAGTACCCCAGTATTGAGGTGGACAGTAGGAGGACACTAAGGAGAAGTCCAGACAGGAAGAACATAGAGAATGTCAAACTGGATGGAGAAGTAATTTATGGGCTTGCACATTTTAACCAATAAAAAGATAAATTGGAAACCAATTGTGTTGCCATCTCCAGCTTGTTCAGTAAAAAAATGATTAACTACTGCTAAACATAATGAACATTGATATACAAATGGTTATAACATAGGAACTAGTATGACAAATTATCATTGTGATAAAGTTTATTTGAAACAAGATTTTTTCAATAATAAAAGTATCAGAATTAGGCATGTAAGACCAAATAAAAAACATTGTGTCACTTGAAAAATGTTTTTTGATTTACATTGAAGGTTGTAGACAGTGATGATGAATGGCAGGCACTAGAGGATAGGACAGAGTCAGAGGAAGATGGCAATATAGCTTTGATGAAGAACAAGGCATTGGTCAACAAGCTGAAGACTCGCCTGCAGACCTCATCAGTACAGGTTCTGGATGGTATGCTGGAAGGGGCAGCCAGACTTAGACCTGTACTCAGAGTGCTGGCTAATCTTGTCCCTACGAAGGGGTAAGTTGCAGAGAAAGCAAAAGCCCTTAAACATTTCAGGTCAATTTTTAACCAATTTACATGTTATTTTTTTATGTAATTTCGGAGAAAATGCTTATAACCATTATTTTTATATGGAGAGAATTGAGTAAGCAAATGTACAGGCATTTTTAAATAAATAACCATGTTTTGTGCTTGATAAGTAAGATAGGCATTTCTAATCATTCTGTTTTGTATGTCAAACATTATATTTTCCAGTCCCAATGAAATTGCTGAAATTATTGTTTCTGTTTTTTAGTGATTTAGAAACCACTTTATCATTCATCAAAGCTGTTGACATGCCTTCCCAACAACTCCAACTTATCAGAGAGGTTGTGAGGAAAGAGAATGTCTTGAAGGTAAGAAAAAAGTTTTTTTTCTGTGAGCATTATTGGGAAAATAAGCACTTTTTTAAATCCTTATTTTATATATATGTAATTTTGGACATTCATTATCAATGTTGACAATATACATTCATATAAAATATCAAACTTTTAATGTTAAATGTGTCAAAACTGCCTGTATTTTCTATTTTTAAGCAACCTTGGAGTCAGCAGATCTTAGTTGACCTGGTGATTGATATACATGCTTACTTTGCCATTGAGATTCTAGAGACAGAAACTGTGAAAAAAGAAAGGTAATTTAGAATTATGTAAAAATTAGTCAAGCTTATCATAATATATTGAATTAGAAAAAGGATGTCCATAAAATAGTGTGCATATCTAATGTGAAGTTTTGAACTTTGTTTCACACCTTGCAGAGAATAAGAAAGGTATCTGTGGTGACAAATGGACACAAAAGATAGATAGGTTTGGAACAGACTGAAATATAGATATTATCTATTGATTTTATTTTGTAAATAAATTTGTAAATATTATTGATGTCATGATTCTAATACTTGAAAGTTTCTTTTCTTACAGCCTGGAGCAATTTTGTGACAACTGTTTCAAGTTTTTTGACTTAGTACCACAACTACTGAGGCAAAATGTGGATGATGACATGAGGCTCAGACATCACACATTCATGGTATGTAATTGAAACTTCAGCAGTTAATGCTTAAATTTTTCCTTTCTGAAATCCCTGTACCCCTTCTCCATACATCTGAATTTGTGCAGTAAAAATTCTACACAAAGCATAAAAAAATTGAGGGTTTTCCTGTGCATTTCTCTTTGTCAAAGACATTTAAAATTGCTATCGCAGAAGTGGGGTATTCTTAAACAAGTTATATTTGTGCATTAACAAATAAAAGAATTTAACAATCAAAATATTTTGAAGAATGGTTTTGATGTTAGTGTTTTTACAATTTCCCAGCTATTTGGTTATTTCTTGCAGTGTGTTGTTGATCTATGTCAAACTATGGAGGTGCATTCCAAAATAGCCAAACCGTTCTTCTCTGGGATAGCTGAGAAACACACAGCAGTTGTTGATGCCATCATTCTGTGTACAAGTGCTGAAGAGGAGGAATTGAAAAAGTTGGAAAGTAAATTAGGAGTTTGTAGTAGTATTTTGTAGCTCAAGTTAGGAATGAATAGATATAAAGTTATTAGTAGATGAAATGGCTAATCAGCATCAATCACATTTAGGCTATTAGAAAATTAATGAGTTGAATCTGATTGTGAATTGATTTAAAGCAAAGTGAAGTGTTGATTTTGACTTTGAAATTTTTGAAAGTGGCTGTTATAATGTTATTTTGAGAGAGGCAACTAATATCTTGTTGAACATAAACCAAGAGTAAAGATGCCACATATAATGCACACATGTCTTTTCTAGCTGTAACTCAAGGAGATAAGGCTATAGCATGTCAGAGGATGGGGGACATGGTACTGTTTGCTATTAGCAGCCTGGCTGCTCTCACACACATCCCTCTGGAGGTCCAAGATGGACTACTCGCTAAAAGAAAGGTATTTGTTACTATTCCTTGTTATTGAATGAGTATAGAAATGTTAATATTGATTAAAATGACAAATGCTTATGTTAGTAGACAGTTTACAGATGCATAGAGATATTGAATTTTCTTGCTGAGTTTAGAATTTATATACTGATACATGCAAATAGAGATAAATCCAAAATATTACACCATTTTCTCCTCAACCAGATTGCTTATATTGTTGGTGAAAGGCTTTGTGATAAGAAGATGGAACCAGCCACAGAAGAGTTTCTCAGGATGGTTCGGCATCCCCAGGCCTGTAGCATGGTGCTCAAGGTAAACTGCGGCAGAGGATTTCCTCTTTTGAATTTAAAAGAAAACAGTTGCTAGATTTTTATGAAATGATCAAGTAAGGAGAATCTTACCCTTATTCTCATTTTTATCTTATTCCCTGTGGTGAGTTTGGGCACAGCCATTGTAAAGTCTTTTGAATGCATTTAATGTATGGTGACAGTTCTGATAATCTTATTCACATCAAAGTCCACTGCCATGTGCCCTTTTTTCAAAGTGATAATGTACCTTCTATTTCAGACTATATACTCAGCATGTCAAATGTCTCCTTCTCTCTGTGCATATCTGGCTAACAGTAAAACACACATGGAATCTTTCTTTGGAATTCTACAAGGAATGGTGAGTATTTTGCTTGTTTATCACTTATAGTTGCATTTATTGTTGAAGATGAAAGCAGTCCTTGTAAGTTCTATAGTGATTAAAAGACTGGTTTATTCAGTTGATTAATAGAAAAAATAAAGAATGATATATTTGGAAAAGCATTCTTTGAATGGAAAAAGAATAAAACAAAGAAAATAATGAACTATCATTGAATAGAAAAATCAGTAAAAAAAGAAATGATTTGTTCTGAGGAAACCCTTGTTGAAGAAAATATATTCATCTAAATTTTTATCTGACAGTCATGCTCCCTTTTCAAAATCTATATGTACACATTTCTTTTCTAGGTTGAAGTAGAAGATGCAGAATTGAATTCCACTTTGGAGATGACGCTTCACACCTTAAGTGTTATTGTAATACAGCTTCAAGATGTGCCCCCAGAGTGAGTGAATTTGACATGTTTATTAATTTGATAAAAGCCTACTTTTAATGGTATTCTGAGAATTATTGAAACTGAAACACGTGTAAGAAAAATGTGTTAAGTTTTCCTGTGTTTAAGAAGTTTGGACATTATTTTGTTTGCTCATTTGTTTGTTTCAGTTTAGAGAAAGCTGGAGACATGATGGTGTCCATATTTCTCGAGTCTACTTTGGCAAGCCACACTGTAAGTCATGACATGTTGTAGAGATGGGAATCAGAATGAAATTTACTTGGTACAGTAAAGATGTGTGTGAAAATCACGTCTTGGTTATGATTTTTGTACTTGCCTAGTCTTTATTCTTTGTTATATTATCTATTAGGCTGCTGCTGCCCTGTTATTTAGCCAGCTTATCTACTGTAACCTACCAGTTGAAGTACCACCAGATGGAATGCTGTCAGCAGCTCTCTCCGTCTTCACTGACCTCTCACAGGTAAGGATGTTGAGAAGGTAACAAAAATTTGTTGCTGAAAAGTTTTAAGGATGAGCAGGTACTTATATTCATTCCTTTTAGGAAAACAAAGAAAAATAAGTGAACTTTGTTGAACATTTTTAATGTATTGTTTCTATCATTACTTATTATTTTGAAATGTGTTTAATATTCATTAACTATAAAAGATGATCAACTTCCTAAAATGTTTTAGGTTTGTGTTCGCACCCCATTTGACTATGGTGTTCTGGATGGCATTCTCCAACTGCTGTGCCAAATGTTATCTTCGGTATGTTTCTAAGTATGCCCATCTTCAGTATCTTTTCAAATATGTCTGTGCATCTAGGGAAGAGATTCAGCAATGAATCTTGGCTGCTATTATAGAATTGATTTTTGTGTCAGTGGGATTTGGCATATAAAATGCTAATGAATTGCATAACAATTTTATCTTGTATTTGAATGAAAAGTTTGTGAATTAATTTGTAATATTATCATTTTAGGATCAACTTCCAATGGCCAGATTGTACATTGAAAGTGGAATCTGGAATGTGTTGATCCACAGGCTGGCTCAAATGATGCAGGTATGCTAGTCTGCTTCCTACTTTAATATTTATTCATATTTTTCCTTAATTTGCTTTGTCTTTCAGATATAATTGCATCTTGAATAGGAATATAGAAGACTGTTTATGCATTTTCAAAAAATATATTTACTATTCAATTCAATTTATTTCTGTACTAGTACATAGATTATCATGACCTTGTACAATTTAATATTAATGGTGTGATATTAACCTTTATCCTCTTAAGTTTATATTGAAATAATGTGAGAGCATGATGTAAGAGTTTATGGCCTAGTATATTGATTTACATGTTTTATGTTCATATTCATGTGACTGTTCATCATTCACTGTGTGTTTGTTATCAGTTGAATGCTTAGATAAATCACTAATGGAATTCGCTTGCAGGTACACAACCCAGAGACAAACATGCCAGTCCATGACATTGATGCTGAAATTGGTTGTTCTGAACAAACTGACCAGACTGACTGGACACTTATCTCACCACAGGGGTTAATGGCTTCACTACAGGTGGCAGCAGCAGTCTTTACTAAGGTAAGGGCAGTGTATGATATTGATATTATCTTATAGGGATCGATATCATGTAATAGTTATCTTTTTTTTTCTTTGACTGTAGGACATTACAGCAAAAAGGGTATTTTCACTGCACAAAAATGAATTATATTAACTGATATGAACCTTTCATACACATGCCTCATATGATGGTGATGATCATATTTATAATTAAATCTGTTTTTTCTTTCAATGTAAAATTCATATTCTTTCTATGTGTAATACTGTCCACTCTTACCTGATATCAGTTCATTTCACTTGCAAAGTGAGATCCTGGATTCAAGATGTTTAATGTGTTGAAAAGCAAATTTGATGTGTATTTCCTTAGGAGACCTACCAGTGTGTTCCAAGCCTTGCTAAACCAGACAGTGTACTCACATTGACTATACTGCACATGTACTCAATGCCTTTCTTAAGGGGCTTGCAGAAAAGGTAGTATGAAAAGTGGTAATAGTTTAAATATAGTATTTAATAATTTATCTATTTATTTATTTTGTTTAATATATTTAATTATTTTTTAAAAAAGTAATCACACAACCATCTTTTTTTATTATTACTAATGTACTAGTAATATGGGGAATATTGCTGTGATGATAATTTGTCAACATGTCTTGGTAAAAAGGTTTTATTGAATTTATTAAAAAAAAGTACAACAATCAGTTATATAGATACTTATCAAAGCTCTTCATAAAATCCACATCAAAATCATTATTGTTATGCTGTGATGTTCTTTTATGTTTGGTGTATTTCAACGCCCAAAGGTCTCTCTTCATCTTCAGCAATCCAGATGGACAGAAAATGGTTGTAGAGACCATACTAAACCTGACCCAGTTATGCTGTTTTCCCTTTGCTGTGGACATGAATGAAGACTTGTTGGAAGAAATTTACAAGTGTGTGCAGGGGGGAAAATGAATGACTTATTAACTTGTTACTTTTTTCTGATTAATTGGAAATGCACCACCAGCTTGCCTAGGCGCATAGTATGTTTGAACATTGTAACTTATTGTTTTGAAAAGGAAGTTATAATTTTGTAACTTGCTAGTTTTTCTGACTTTGCAGAATTCTGCCATTTCCCAGGAATCTTCATATTTCTTAATAATAAAATGATTGCAGTGATGCAAATTTTATATGAATATATTTTTTATTACATTTACAGCTGTTTTTACAGCCAGGGTCTCATATTGAGGCTGCTGTCTGCTTGCAAACACTTCCTCCAGCCTGACCAGATGGAAATGCCTGTAGGTCTCATGGCAAGGCTCACTCTGGGAGAACAGGCTTTTGTACTGCAGTTTGCTGATTGTGTTGTTGAGCTGGATGTAGGTATATTTTGAAACAAAATGATTCTGAACCTTAATTGTAAGTCACTTTTAAGAAAACCCATTTTGTATGTATGCTGTGCATCAAGTTTTGTCAGCAACTAATTTTTTTTTTTTTAGTGATGACCACATCTGAAGTGTGATAATGAAAAATTTACGTAATTGGTATTATACTTAATTATCTGTTTTACAATTATTTTTAAGGCCCTGTCATTTGTATCCGTGTGTGTGTCTCCTGAAAGCCCCCTATCTGTGATCTGTGATATGGTCTCCATATGTAGTCACCTGGCCAGAACCTCACCAGAATATGTAGATCTGTTGCTGAGAATTTTCCAAGGTTCTGAAGGTAAGAGCATTTTTCCAGTGGCAACCAACTGTGCTCAAAACATAAGAAAAATAGGGAAATTATCTTGCTGGCATTAAAAGCTTGCATGCAGTTTCCTTTTGGCTGCAGATACTCTGACTTATTTGTTTTTGGTGAAATGACTCATTTTCTACCTTATCGAGGATAAATGGGTAAAAGAAATCAAACATTTCATTTCTGTGGTCAAAGTGTATTATCTTCAGCAACTGGTAGGAATTTTATGCTCTTTTGAGAATGGCATAGATATATTATCTCTACCAAGGAATATAACCCTGTGTATATGGCCCAGTCTCAAACCCAAACCACCAAAATACATAGTTGACTTTTAAGTGTAGACTTAAAAACAAGTTTAGTGTCTCTTTAGTACTGGTTTTGAATGTTTATTTTGTGATGCCTGATGTGCCTCTGTGTGTGTATTTATTTAATTATGTATTTCAGGTGACTGTGCCCCTTTAGCCTCCCTTATGTGTCACCAGTCCCCAGTGGTACGTTCCAGAGTATGTAGTATGATGGGAAACATGATGAAACATTCCAATACATTCTATACTGTCCTTACTCAAAGGTAATTGTAGTTTTATATTAAGTCTGATAAGTAAGATTGTTAAAGATAACTTACATGTTTGTGCCTGATGTAATAATCCTTTTTTAATCAATGTGTTAACTCAGGTATATTTTGTGTAATGAAACTTGTACAGTATCAGTTTGCGGAAAAAAAATCAGTTACTGTAGACTTTTTAAATTTTGAATAGTTCAAAACGTGTTCTTTTTATGATTTTTTAAAAGTATTTATTTATTTATTTATTTATTTATTTATTTTTGCATGGTAGGGAAAAACTGTGTTCGAGTTTAGTAAGGTGTCTGGAAGACGAAGATGCTCATGTCAGAATGGTAAGATTTAGTATAATATGGTTCTGCGTTGAGGGAAATGTCTTATTCTAAAGACAAGTATTTTTATGTAGAAAATATCAGTGTACAAAATTTTATGGATCCCTCTGATTTATCTCATGTACCCGGTAAGTGAAATGTCAGCGATGACTCATTAGATTGCTATTTATTAAAATGCAAAAGTTTGTGCAAAACAACCCAAAATATTCTTTTCCTTTGTGTTCTTTATTTTACTCTAGAGAATGGAGGACCTTTGTGGGATTGTTTTCTTGTGACAGTGCAAATGTGAAACATGATGCATTGATCTTTGTCACTTTGTGTGCCACAGTATTCACAAGTGTAAAAAATCAATTGTATTGTGTACTTAGTTCTTTGTAAATGACAACGAAAAATTAGCCACAGAATTTCCAACAAGTCTAGAGGCAAAAAAAACTATAAATGGGTATTGATTACAAAAATCAAAGTTTTGACAAATAAAGGTGCCCTTGAATGTGCTAAGAGCTGGTTATATTTAGGTACTTCTAAGTATGAGATACATGTTGACAGCTGTTTTCCTCACTGAACAAACATTTTTATTTGCCTTCAAATGTTTGATGTACTGTATTTTGTAAAAAGGCAAAATACCACCCATGAACTTTAGCATTTTGGAGAGATGGATTTAAGCTTGGAATAACATACTTGAAATACATGTTATAGGAAACATCTATACACAATACCCATTAAATATCTTGGTCTGCATATAATTTCTATCAGACCTTATTCAATACTTCCATCTCATACCAAAACTGAATGCAGTATCTTGCCATTTAAACTGTATACCTATTACTAAAACTAATGTTATCCTGTTTTTGTTGGCCATGCATCAGACCTGACTGCAGCTGAATGAGTTGTTCTACATATTCAGTATATAGGCCTTGTACTTTTTATTTTACATCAAATGTAATATTTAGCTTGTGGTTCTCAATTTGGCATTGACACAAATAATTCTGGATTGAAAAACATGGAAAGTTATATTGCCAAGTCATAGATTAATCAGTATCCATTAGATGTTTTTTTTTTTTTTTTTTTTTTTTCAAATTAAAAAAAAATGTTCATTTCTACAATATATGCCCTGTTTTAACACTTTTCCAGCAAATCACAATAAGTCTTTTTACTGCCCACCCCTGCTTCATGTTATGTATATCAGTGCATTTTTACACTCCAGTGCTCCAGCTATGCAGTGGGCAATGCAGGTTATCACAGTGGAGAATTATACCCACAACTGAAGTGTTCCGTCCCATACCTTATCACATTGCTCAGTGATTCTGTTGCTAAAACTAGAGCTAATGCTGCAAGTGAGTGATACATTTATATTCTACACTGATGAACACATGCTACATGCTTCCAGCATGTTGAAATAAGTAGACAGTTATAGCCTGTAGCAAGACAGCCAGGTTTTTTCTTTGGTTTAAAATTGACAACAAGATCGTTTTACAATACATTTTAAACTATAATTGAGTGTAAACATTTATCCAAAGTGATTTAAAGTTTTTAAAATGGTTTTTAAAGGCTGATCACTATCAAGTTGGTCTGCTTAGCTGTTAAACTTTATCATTCTGTATGTCTCTGAAACACCTGCTAAAAATTTGTGCTTGTTACATGTTTTTACTTTCCTGCAGGTGCCTTAGGTAACCTAGCCATGCATTCTCCACAGTTGTGTGAAGAGCTCTCCAAACACAAGGCTGTTCACAGGTGAAATTTATAATATGCTTTATGTAAACCTGTTCCCATTCATCCTGGTGTGATGTGGGTGTATAGAGAGTCACGATACAAAACTTTTTCTGCTCATGCCTTTATGCATAAACAGCATTGAAGCATTTAACAATCCTTGTTTCATTGAAATAGTGTGGAAGGTCAGAATTGATCTTTGATCTGTATATTCATATTATCCTGGCCTCCTTTTCTGGATTGCTTTATCTTTGCTGTTAATGTCTGGCAATCCCTAGATTTTTTCACATTTGCCTGGATTTGCCAGAATTTAAATGCAATAAGATTTACTTCTCATGAATAAATGTAGGGTGCAACAATGACTTCATTGTGTTAGACTTTTGTATATATTCAATGCTTCTTTTCCAGTGTTCTTGAAGTTGCCTGTCATGACAGTCAGTATACCGTCCAAGAAAGTGCACTGGCAGCACTGAAATCCATGTGTAACCAAACCGAGTTAAAGGCTTTGTTGAAATCCATGAATGCTGTAGATAAATTGACCCAGATGAGTGGCACCACCACCCCAAGACCTAAGAGTGCAGTGTTAGCCAATAGAAAGAGTGTGGGGGTTACCACTGTCATGCATCACTGTCACAAGCTGATCAAGATATTACAGGAAGATGGCTGAATCATTTAATAAAAATAATTCATTTGATTTGAGTGCATAGATTTTAAAGCAGAATAGATTGTGGTGTCCGTGTTTAAGTAAAAGTTGGTTCCCATTTCTGAAGTAACAGTGATGTTTTGTGTCAGTTTGAAGTTTTGTCTAGTTATTATCCTGGCAAATCCAGGCAAATTTGTGTTGACATTGTGAAGAAAGGCAACTGTCAAATGTACACAGATGTTCAGTGATATACAGGAAGGCTTTCCTGATGGCATTGTAAGCATGTCAAGTTTTAGAAGAACAACTCTTGCATGGCGTTAACATTTTACATTTTAAGTTTGTATACACAGGAGTCTGAAATTATATGATAGGATAATTAATAGGGACATTGTTCTTTTCAAATACATTTCATCTGTGAAATATGATTGCCCCTCTCATAGTCTGTACTTATTTAAAGGAAATGTTTTTTATTGTTTTCCTGTTCCCCTTCCAGATGGTCACAGTTAGTCTTAACCTTTATTGCTATAGCCTATTTTTTTAAATCAAGTTGACATTTCACAAGGTAATAATGCTATAGAATTGGTCTGTTGTTAGTTTAGTCTCATGTATTTGAACGTGTGAGATTGCTCTTTTTCTTTGGTAGGACTTTTGGGCATGTAGCACTGCCCATAGTTATGTATGGGAGTGATATATTTTTTTGTAACAACAAAAAGAAGGCGGATTTCAGGAATTTTAGAACGTTTTACATTACTGTTAAAATTACACTGATTTAGAATACTTCCTCCCAAACTTGTGTGAATTACCCCCTTTAACAGTTCTGTTATAATAGTAATTTTTGTTCTCAGTGATGCTGAAATTTAGATTTATTTGAAGTATTTTTTTAATTTAATTATTTATAAAACGTATTTAATATTTGTTAGAAGAGTAAAGGGCATCTTTGTACAGATTGCAAAAGAATATTCTGTATTGACAGGCACAGTTTAGTATTGTAAATGTATGTTCTTTATAATGCATCGTCATTGATAAACTTATTTTAAGCGAATCATTTTGTATATTGTTTCTTTTTATAGAAATGTTATATGAAGAAAAGGAGGATAAGACAAGGATAAGACAAACTTACCTTCAATTTGAAGTTAAGTTTTCAAGTGCAATTTATTTTGTGGTTTTATAACCATGGAACTGAAAATTACTTACAAATTAAAATTAATTACACTTAAGCAAATGCATGAAGATAACATGTGACGACCCTTTGGAAATAGTTATATAGAAAATTTTACATTTTGACGAAAAAACGTTGAGATGCGCCATTCTATAGAGAAAAGCATTTTCTATGTAGATTGTTAGTTTTTTAGGAAGAGAACTATCAATTCTGGTTTAAACTCTGAAACAGGTGTCTGTAAACACTTAATTTTAAAACGGGTGTCTGTAAATACCAAACTTTCAAACAGGTGTTTGTGTGTGTAAGTGTGCTATTTCACTATAAACGGCGTTCGGTAAAATAGCTGAAGTGAAGATGCGCATGAAGCATCGTGCTAAAGTTTTCGTTTGAAGTCGTTTTGTGTTAAGGGCGCCATTATATCGGCGCGTGTGAGAATACACTTTCGTAAACTTGAAACCGTGCTTCAGCTTTTGAATTTGTGACGTAAACCTGAAACCAGAGAGCGTCTGTGTATAAGCCAAATCAAATAAAACTTTCTGTGTTCCTCTCCGCGTGAGCCATGATAAAAGGAAGATTTGTGTTTCATTCGATTTTTTTAAATCTAGTAAGTTGTAAAGTGCAACTTACCTTGGAATATTACCAAAACTTCAGGTAAGTTTTATTTCTGAATTTTTATTGCAGATTGCATGAAGCTTTGCCTTATGCTGTTAGTCCGTGCGATAACTCGGGGTTTGCTACTCGGGAACAGACTGAATCTCTTTAGCTTTTAATTGCTATAGAGCAATTTGGTAAGTGAAAACACTGTATGTCGTTCAAAGGTAACGTGAATCGGTTCATGCAGTTTGGTATCAGCGTTAAAGGAGATATATATATATATATATATATATAGTAACCAACAATGATCCAAGGCGTGTAATTCACCGAAGGTGAAATCTGAATAAATTTACGAGCGGCAGATCATATCCCGTCACCAATAGTTCATCTTTAGCCCATAGGATAGGAGTGAGGAATAACGAGATGAAAATGGTCAAAAAGTATACTGCAAGTGGAGTATCTTGTCACAAGCTCAATCCGAGTATAATGTGACTGATGACAGATAGGAACAAATGAAGTTGTCCAATCATCTTGACGCCGGTTCAGCTTTAATTGAGGAGTTTGCCTATTGAAAAGTCTTTGTTTTAGTGTTACCGGTGTCGAAGAATGAAATCTGACCGAGGTGTGATCTGTGAATAGAAGAAATGACTGCGGCTACGGAGAAATCCTCGGTGTCAAATAACACCGTGGCCACAATCAATACAATACACTACATTATAATACACAATCTTGGTCTGTGTCTTCGAGCGATCATGTACAACAAATGGTAATTATGTTTCTCTGAGAATTTTAACCCCAAGATCGAAGAATTATATAGTTCAAAAATACCAGTCTCCGGCCGTGATTTCCGAAGTATACTAAAAGCAGTTTGTGGCTTATTAGTGCGATTGTAGTCTTTGACTCCAACTACTCCATCTGGAAAATGCCTTTGAGACAATTCGTTGGCTGGAATTCGCATGTTCTCTTAGGGAGAGACAGGTGGTAGGGAACAAATCAAGACACTTTAGTAGTTACCGCCAAGTTGATACTTTTTGAAACTTTTTCCCATTGTGATTCCCACTTTCTTTTTTAGGAACTTTGCATATTTCGCCGCAGTCCGAATAAATTAATGAAGTTCGATTACCTAGACTACTCATTGTACTGAGGTCAGCCTAGTGGCTCAAACTACGTGGAGACTCGGGAGATCGTCTGCAGCAGATACCAAATAGTCGGCAAGAGAGACATTTAAGATTTTAATGCTTAATTTGAGTGCTATCCACTTTTACTGACAAGGCTTATTTTTTGACACAACGCACAGGTAGAAAAAGAATTGTGAAGAAACTTCGTGAAAAAGTTGAGCGCTTTACTGGTAGAATTGTGGGATTTTTTAACCAGCACGTTTAACGGCAAGCGCAAGTACAACGCATTCACTGATAAACAGCACCTCCGCCATAGCTGGTTTACTATATTCTGAAATAAGCTAATTTAGAACTTGTTAAAGTAAATTGGATCAATTGTCGTCAGTTAAGGGAAAGGGAAACCCTTCATTTTTTCAGTATAAACAAAGCTCACAATCTGATGACATTTCGACAAAACCTGGAATTATTTGGGAGGCAATCATTTTACAAAGTCAAGAAGTTTATTTTTACTTATCTGATTGCGGCAAGGTCGAAAAGTTGATTTTTACATTTGGTCTGGTTTTCTGTATAAAGAAGTGCACTCTTGTACAAGCTGTAGAAGTGCAACCATACGAAGAAAAGCTAAGGACACTAACTGGAGGAATTGCGTACGGACGGGCACTTGCACTGAAGAAGAAAAGCTAATCGCTGACCAGTGCTAACAGGTGAGAAAATAACCAATTAACTGTAACTTTAAATTAACGTGTTTTCTGTCACATTGTATAGCTCTGGAGATATATAAAAAACTGCCTCTTACCGTTAAGTCAACGTTAAGCTTAGTGCTCAGATGCTCACATGGGCTACAGATATTAAGTCAGGGAGAGATTTTAAGTGTGATCACTACCCCGTTCCTTTCCTCTACAATCATAATAGGTCAATCGTAAACATTTTTTCTTTTTTTTATGTATGATATCTCTATTTTTTCTTTCTTTCTTTCTTTCTATGTTATTATTATTATTATTATTATTATTATTATTATTATTATTATTATTATTTGTTTTTTGACAATAGTAGGATCACAAGATGACATAAGATCAAAGTCAATTAGGACCATACTCCTCATGCTTTCGGACGATTTAACAGTATTCACGCGTATCAGTAATGTTAATTTGCCGATCTAATCACAATATTAAAAGCTGAAATCCTTACAATTTCATAAGTATCCATCTGTACTAACTGATAATTTCAGTACTGTGTCTGCAGCGATTAACTTAAACGTCTACACAAAACACATCAAAGCTATTATGCAAAAAACGTACAAAAATTAGATTACATAGCTGTTGGACACTAATTTTCTACCGGTACTGTCCGTCACAGAATCCCCTGATTATTGATATACTTTTAAGTATGATAAGTAATGTAGGCTACGTAAGAAAAGATTAAGAAGCAATTCTTTTGAACCAAACTCGTTAAATATATTGTAGTTGTTATTGCTGAAGCCAATTGGTATGTTCAACCCACAGTAGCATGTTTTCTATCACTCCATTTAACCGAGAAAACAAAAGGAAGTCGAGCTAATCATTAGGTAAATACCCACACGTGCACGTGACTTTGACTTGCCGATGAGCTTCGCATCTATAGACTGTAAAATTCCTTGGATCTTTTCTTGCGAGAATGGGTTTAAATAGCAAGTATTGTGCATGTGTAAAAATCGACAACACTACTGACGTGGACAGGAAGCATTTCTTACATGTCGGGTTTGCATGGGAAGGAGATAAAGCGTCAGTATTAACATTTGTTTTACAGGATATGTATTAAATTACAGCAAAGTCATACTCATTTAAATCGAATGAATAAACAGATATCGTATGGGATAGATATAGCAAATGTAATGAGCTCAATTGAAAATTTAACTTACAATGCTCCACATCCACCCTTTTTGATAAAATATCTTATTTGACATGAATCGCTGTATTTCTTAAAAATATATGTTGGCATCTCTGGCTTCGATTGAATTCAAAATTCCCCTTTTGTTGCAAGCAAGGGTTTTATTAGAAGCAATAAAGGACATTTTGTTAGTAACTTACAGAGGAACAGTCAAAATTAGCACAAAATCTGGCCCAGATTGCTTTGCTATCGTACTTAATGCAAAATACCCTCTACTGCGTCAATTGGTTTGTTCGGACAAAAACTGAATTTGATCACAAGTTAAGAAAACTAGCGTCATAAACGAACACGTAAGGGAGGTCCCGTTCTGCCATAATCATTGTCTAACCTGCCAAAATAATGTCAATTTGACGCGAGGCCTGTTTTCGCAAAGTTCGTAATTTTCCAAACACGTGGTTGTTCTCACATCCTGCTCATACACACGAACGATTGAACATGACTATGCGCATTTCCCTTCTATATGTCAGGCGTTGTCATCTTTAATTTTGTGCAATAAATCAGCGCAGTTTTCAAATTTTTTTTTATAAAGATAGCCTTTTCTTATATTATTTTGTTCCATTAATAGATTTTTTTATTGATTTTTTTCTTAAAGATAAGTAATAAAGGACTGTCATGAGAACTGTGTAAATACAAATCATTTTAACGTCAACACCAAAATCATAATTTTGCCTCAGATTTACAAATATCTTAAATCATAATGAGTGCGGCAGAAGATCCATATCATCCATTCTCTTCTTGGGCCATTAAAAGCCTCCCCCTGGCAAATTGTTCGTCAGTTTTCGATTGGTTTTCGAGACAAATTTCCTCATTAAAAACATCGACGCACTGGAAGTCTGTGAGAAATAAAATCGTTGATGCCACCACGGGGAAGGCGCGACCTTTGACTTCTGTAGGCCTAGGGTCGGTCAGAGTCTGGTTACTGAACGTGCACCACAGGGCATTGGAGTACTACGATTTTTCGATGTATTAAACACACTTATGGCTTCTTAACTCTTTTCAATTAATGTGATTTGGAAGAAGGCATTGGTGGTCAATGTTGGTTGTCAGCCACAATACAACCGCAAAGCCAATATAACCGTCAAATTGCAGGAGGGGACAGACTGATTAACACAGCAAATGCATTGAATTGCAATGACAATTTTTCATTAAAAAGTTGTACACATATCAGAATGATAAACTGACAGCTAAACGGCCCTTAGAAGTATGAAATGTTAAAAAAATTAAATGATTCGTTTAAATATAGGACGGTTCCACACTCTATTAAGCAGCCGACATTCGAATTTCGCACGGCTTTTTGAGCTCCATTGATTTCTTCTTCGATCTTTCCTGCGACCTGAACAGTGAATAAAGCATCATTTTGCACCTTTATTTATATGCTTCTCTCAGATTGTCCAATCAAGTCCTGTTTCCTCTTGGATTGTAGAACGTGTTGTTTTAGACTCAAGTAACTCTTACTGGAGTAGGTTTTGGAATTAGTTTTGATTGTTTGCTTTATTAATCGATGAACGCTCGACTAGCGCGAGGTTTGCCAGAGGTTCAGATCGATCGGGCTAATATTTGTAAGCTCCTGGTATACTAAACTGTAAAATGTTTCAAAAGAGCAGCACTTATCTGATCATTGTTGAAAATAAAGTTTTTTTCAAAAAACAGCGATAACGGATAGCGTATCGCCATTGTATTTGCTCGCTGATAGACGCTGAGAAAACATTCTGCTAACTGTCCAGGATAGAACGATTATCATGTGTACTGATTAATTTTTATTGGGTCTTTTCAATGTTCTGATCGAGTTTTTCTGCAGGCTAAAAATTGATGCCAAAGAGATAGAGCGATACACCTCGTACACTTCTCTTCTAGACTAGATCCAAGAATGTGGAGAATGCATGGTAGCTAAATTTATGAATGTTAAAAACTTTGTCATCCCATGCTTTTGACAATATCGATGAAACTGGATACTGTTTTACATTTTGCAGACAAGAAAAGTGAGAGCAAAAGACGCAGATCTTCGAGAGGTTTAGTTCACATCCAATGGATCTGATTAAAAACTAACAACAACTCCAGAAAACTAGAAAATACTCCAATTTTTAACTCACTATGGGCCTGGAAGACGACATAGACCGTAAAGATGAGGGCAAAGAACAGGCTGCACAGGGTGAGTTTTCCTCTTCTGACTCTCGAAAATTTAACACACGTATCATTTCTGCCCCCTTTTTTAAGTGTTAAGACCACTTGTCAAAATTACGACAATGTAAAACTCGCACTTAAGCTATGTCAACTGTTATCAAAATTAATTGTTTTGTATTTGTAAAGGTCTATTTAATTTGTTTGGGTCTTGTTTTTGTTTTGCCTTCTTTTGGTGAAATGGTGAAGGTCGTGATTGCATCTTCACATCATAGGGACTGCTTCGTCAAATCGTAAACTATTTTAAGATATTTGCAGAATGGCATCAAAGTGTTGCAACGATGAAAACAGTTTTCTGTTAGGGAAATTGAATTACATGACTGTGTGAAAGTTACTGTAACAGTCGCAATGGAATCAACAGTGCTGTAACGTCCTTTTTTTTCGTCAACACAGGGGTACCACCAGCCGATGAAGTTATTTGTAGTACATTTATGTTATTTAGAGCTGTTCGTTAATAACTTTGCACCCATGAACTCGCTGTCCTTAAGGCGCATAGCGTACTAAACACAAATGACTTGTAAGCAGAAAACGATTGTTTCTCAATTCTTCATGGGCCTATAAATAGCCAAGGGCTCATATTTTTTGTCTCATATTCGTAATAATATTACTACAGGGTATGTAGTTAAAGACGATTCGTCATGCATTTCAAATATTATATCCATCAGTTATGTCCTCTGAAAGTCAAGAGATGTTGAGTTAATTGCCTAAATGTACATTGAGTTTTACCCCCAACTTTTACAAGCACATCACTGACGTCAGTTATCCTGTAACATCGCATTTATACACGCTGTTTCTGGTAAAATTATTTGGCGAAATATAAAAACCAGTAAAATCAGATAATTTTACACCCATTTGGTACACAGTTCATTATAATGTCAACCAGAAATAATGTTTTGAAATCTGATCATTTTTAAAGGTCACACATTAACTAATAAACTACCACGTTTGTCTAAAAAGAGATTTTCTCAGTGCCTGGTCACATCAACATGCAACGGACTATGAACAATTATTTCCTTTCTTCACGCTACAGGGAATAGAAGGTTATAAAGAAAGTCATGACGACCGCACATTTTCGCAAGACACTTCATACATTTCTTCAGATACGTAAGTCTGGTGGTGCGGTCGGTCATGCACAGACAACGAGGCCAACTTGAAAAGCCTTGATCATTAATCTATGGATTGTCAAATGTCTACGATAATGTGCATTAATGATACAATTCATCAGTAATGAACACTGTTTCTTCCGCCGAGAGGAATTTTCAAATAAACCCTTTTAAAGGGAAAATAGCGTAAAAAATTCTTACTTGCTGCATTACAAGTACAGAGTTAACATGGAAGTGGTCGAAGAGAAAGAAGAAAAGAAAAATCAGTGTTATCCTTTGTCGGAGAGCAGTGTTCAAAAACTGACACAGCCAGTTGTACAGTATTTCAAAAGTACGTTGTTTTACTTAGAGATCTTAATTTAGTTTCAGTTTTGTGCATATTCATATAGTAACCCTATTCGAAATGGCTTCAGAGTTTTGGAAATTAATATTGGACTCACATTTGATGACGTACGTTTTAAAGATTGTCTCTCATTTTATCATTCTTTCAATACTAGCAATTTCTTTACAAAAAGACCTGTTTGATCATCAAAATGCGTTGTATTCCCTTGCACAGGGGGAGTTTATCTTAAAAGGTGTTGCAAAAATTTTTGGAATTGCGAGAAAGTAGTAAGAACCTGCAAATGCTTCTATGTCATTTTGTTTCTGTGACTTGCAGAGAATCTCCTGGGTGACAGCCTCGCCAAAGGAGATGATGTCAAGGGAGCCGTTGACGAAAAAAGCAAAGGTCTACCCGAAAGTGACGAACGAGAAACATGGGGAAAGAAGATAGACTTCCTTCTGTCTGTTATTGGATTTTCAGTAGATCTGGCAAATGTTTGGAGGTTCCCATACTTGTGCTATAGAAATGGCGGAGGTAAGTTTATCCTACGAACGGTACAAATGCGCTGAAGAAATGCGTCTTTAGTTAATCGTAAAATTGGTTAACGGTCCCAAGCTGAATGTGAACCTTAAGTCCTCGTGGTAACACAAGAAAAATACCAAACGGGAAAATGGTCTTTTAAACATCACTGAAGATATTAACTTGAAAGTTGTCGAAAAAGCCTAAGTGCAATGTGCCTGGTATTCCTGTTTTGCGTAGACGTCTATTAAAGCTACATGCATATATAGGTATTCCAGTTATTTGGTGAAGAGTATTCATTATAAGCGCAACGTTTTTTCGTGGTAAACGTACTCGTAGAAAAAAGACGAGAAAAGAAAAATTGGAATCGACTGGAATATGCAGGAGACTCATGTAGTGATATCCGTATTTTATTATGTTTACGTATTTTTCATTAATTTTATATTCACCGACGTGTTTAAAATAACACGTTTTATTGAACGTAATTTCCCTTTCGCACTGAAACCTTTAAATACCATAAAGTCCAACAGTGATTGCCAAATTGGAAGGATTAAAGATTTTGTTCGTTATATAAACTTTGATGTCGGACATTGGAGTAAGTCTGTAATTTCCTGTCTCAAACCAATTTCCTTGTATTGTTGTCTACTGGTCTTCTTGACCATACGAACGGGCATCTAGATGTCTGTGCTACACTATTGATGACGAGTAAAGGTAAACGGGGAAACACTGAAGGCCATGTGAAACAAATTTGCCAATAGAGGAAAAACTTTTGAGTCGAATTCTATTCAGAAACAGCTTTTTCCCATGAGCATATGCAAACTAACAATTGACTTAATGAGATGACGCAAAATTAGTGCCAGACTATACATTAACTGCAGTGTTTAACCTGGTGAATCTCGGGTCAATAAACCAAGTAAATCTAATGTAATTCTTATCGAGATAAATAGAATAACACCTTGAAGACAAAAACCCATTAGAATTGACCAGCCGCTTTTTCAATGTTACACTGTTTCTTCAATTTCCTTAACCCACAAACCGACTTATTTAAAGAACATATGACTTATCGACACACATGCGCATCTGTTTTGCTTCCTTTCAAACTTTTTGCCACGATAATCACAGGCTTTCAAGAGATACGTAGTTTGAAGTTAATAGCTGATAATAAGAACAATCTGAATAACGGCCCTGGATAAATTGATCGAAGAGTGATAAGGTCGGCGAGATGCAAAATTTTGAACATTTCTTTTTAAAGTGGTTAAGCTCTTCCCGTTTTCAGCAATGGGATGACAAGGCATCATTTTATCAGTAATGGCAGTTTGTTGTACAAATAACCACAATATTGTTAATGACACGATTTGATAGAATATGATGAAGTAGGCTGTATAAAAAATCTGAAGTCGTGCAATGATCTATTGACCCGTTATTTTCCTGAAGATTAAGGTTTGCGTTATGTCACTGAGAGGCGAAAATCCATTAAGTTTGCTTTTTGACGTTTTGGTTCATTAACCATAGTTTTGTGAATAAGCTTCTACTATAATACATCATGTAGAAAGAATAGACGCCTCGTGAGTAGTTGACTTTTACTGTTACAGAAAGGCATCAGCATTTTGATATTCGGCGATTCATCTATTATATAACAAAACGACACCTGTTAAGTTTCCAGAGCAGCTGTTAAAAACACCTACTGAACTTCAACGCGTATTCTGTTGGTGATGTCCATAAAACCCTACTTTCCCATGTCGATTAATCTTATAAAACATTTATAAAAAAGCAGCCATTAAAATTTTGTTTCAAACACAGAAAAGACTACAGGAACTTGTCACGACCAATTTGGAAAAATGCTTAATTTGGTAACTTTAGAATGCGGGGTTTATTTTAATCCCGTGTCTTATAAGTCTCATTTTTTGCACAAGAACTTGAGGCAATGTTCCATTTCTTACTGCCCTATTGGGAAAGCCTTCAGCTAATTCCAGAACATAAAATCAGTGTGACTTGATTCAAGGCACGCAGACCGCGGCGAAAGGTAAAACCTGTTAACACAATATTTCACTTTTAAGCAGATATTTGTGAACCACATAAAAGCACCCTGCAGATTGCACATCAACTTTTCAATTTCCTTTAAATTTTAGGGGTCGAAATCTGTTTCGACAAGTGCCATCAACAAGCCATCTCCGCTGTTTTATATTGGATTAAGGAGACTTAATCTCGAGATTTACATTGATTCTGATAGACTATTCAGATTCCGGGGCTAAAATATGACGTCAAAGGGTGACATGAAAAAAAGTAAGCGTATACAATATCTCAGCACTTGTAATGGAAAATCGAAGAGTCAACGTCGAAAAGTTCTCAGCAAAACGGCTTGACTTGCCACTCCCTAATGGCGTTTCCCGATTCCAAATGGCGCGCTTGACTCGGTCCGGAACTAGAAATGATGAGTGCGTCGATTCCAGATTGGTCACTGGGAAAAGAAATCTACCCAGTTCTGATTAATGAATTGAAAAGACTTGTGATAATCTACTTTTAATTGGCAATTTACAGAAATTTTAAGCAACTCAACTGTTCTTACTTAAGAATGGTCAAATCGGTCTTAATCCAACTACGATAGCCACACTATCCACCGTCCTCATACATTTGCAGTTTTCAAAAACGGATATATCTGCATAACAGAAATAAGAAAAAATATTACGAATACTCGATACCAATGTTTTTGGCATTTAAACAATCCTCACTCACATAACTGTTACATGGAAGGTTTGATAAAATTGGCTATTGTATTGTTTAATATTTTTTGAGAGGCTAAAAACGTTTTCAGTCAAGTACATTCATCAAAACTTTGCTTCAGACAGTAAGCGATATGAACGACACTAGCTATAAATCAGATTGGGTTGGTGTGGTGAAATAACATTGCCAACAATTGGTCGGGCAGGATTGGGTGTTTGTGATCAAGGATACGAAAACTTCCATTGCGGTTTCTTGCATTGTATATGGCGACAGGATAACACGATGATGGATTATTCATTACAGTCGGAAATAATCATTGTCAAAGATTTTTATGTACAGACACAGATGTGTCTGTACATATTGCCATCACCTGCGTCTGTCGTCGCCGATGGCGATGACGATGGNAGAAAACACAATTTTGGGTGCTGCTGCCATGATGACCATTATGGGAAAACCATGTTACTTATGATTGCCAAACTTTCAAAAAAGAAATACAGGACTAAAATGCAGCCTGAGTTGGAAAAGCAGTCTAATTGACATCTTTTTCTGGAAGTTTTACATTTTCAAAGGGTGAACTTGAACTCCCATGGGCCTGAAGCCTTATGTTTGTTACACATTTTACTTACATTGGTATTACCTGTTGAGCATAATTAGAATTTGATGTTGAATTTGCAGTTTAACATAATGTACTTTTGCATCAGAATTGACAGTAGCCTATTTTGTTATTTCCTGCTTTTTGTCTGTACATTTGACAGCTTTGCTGCCTTGTTTTATTAGTATTAACAATATTCTCTTTTATGTTCGTTGAAAAGCCAACTAAAAAATAATATTTGGAAATATGAGCACAGACAAACATACCTAGCTTGCTCAATGCTGCATATCAAAACGTTTACGTGTCTTCATATCAGGCATCAATAAAATTTAGGATGTAATAATAATAATAATAATAATAATAATTTATTTGTTTTATAGGTGCCTTTTTGCTACCTTACTGCCTGATGTTAATCTTTGGGGGAATTCCCTTATTTTATATGGAACTTGCCTTGGGCCAATATACAAGAAAAGGTGCAATAACCTGCTGGGGAAGGATATGTCCTTTATTAAAAGGTAAGTATACATACACAGATTGTTCATAGAGGTTAATTGGTATCAGTTTATCAACTAAACTAAGACTGCTCTGTTTGAAAATATTAATTGAAAGAAAACTGTGTACACCAAATAATTTATCTACTCAAATCTTGTCAATAGGCGATAATTTTCAAAAAACACTAGTATAAATCAGTTAAAACTTCGTGGGTTATTGGTTTTAAGGGATAATTTATGTATACTATGGGTACTCCACGATACCATGAACTTGACGACTTTACCTATCTGCATTGCCTTCAAAAACAGGTCGATAGCTTATTATATATGGCATGCAACAATTGTCAAACATTTTGATATTTTTCTTTAAGGTATCGGCTATGCAGTAGTTCTGATAGCCTTCTACACAGATTTTTACTACAATGTCATCATAGCCTGGTCGCTGTATTACTTCTTTGCTTCGTTCACCACCAATTTACCGTGGTCAACGTGCGGCAACTCATGGAACACTGATGATTGCTTCGACGGAAAAGCATCGGAACGACCACCTTACGATCTCATGTCCACAGAGAGCCCTGGAAATTGGACTTTTTCCAACTTCTCGGCCTCAGATAAGGTCGTTGGAGTTGCATTGACGAATTTTATGAACAATGGAAGTGACCTGTACGTCAATTACGGAATTAATGGAAGTTATCTAAATCAGACTTTTATTGATAACACTACGGCTATGGCAATGACAACAACCGAGAGGAAATCACCGGCGGGGGAGTATTTTGCGTAAGTGTATGTTTTCATACCTTTCAGTTTAATTTGGTGCTTCACGCTGAGTGTACACTTGATTAGATTATCAAAATTAAAAGGCTCTTTAGAGAGTAAAATGAGACTTTTCATCGATTTATTATAAGCTTTCTTTTTTTCTTTTGTAATGTGAACAGATTCCTTTTTGAATATCAAATGTATATGGTGAAAATGTATGGTCGTTGATTTAGGCGCCATGTGTTGGAGATGCACGAGAGTGATGGCATTCATGACCTAGGAATGGTAAAATGGCAACTTGTCCTCGCCTTATTAGCGGTATACCTCATCTGCTATTTCAGTATGTGGAAAGGAATATCAACCTCCGGAAAGGTAGATAGCCATTAATATGTATGGATGTAGTCATGCCACATCCCTAAGTCTGTTTCCTTTATTTCTCTTTCCTCTCTCTCTCTCTCTCTCTCTCTCACACACACACACACACACCTTAAAATATATGTCCATCTGTCAACTGAAATGACATGCATACCTAAGGTGTAACTTGTGGACCCATCTACCTCTCTTGCAGGTGGTGTGGTTCACTGCCGTATTCCCGTATGTGGTGTTGCTTATTCTTCTCATCAGAGGACTAACCTTACCGGGATCCGTGGACGGCATCATGTACTATCTGAAACCAAACTTGGCAGAGATGAAGAAGGCACAGGTACGGCTGAGAAGAAGTTCAAATTGACTCATGTTCACGTACTACATTGAATGTTTTTTATAAACTAGTCAGCTGGAGATCATTACCTGATTTCTTGAAATTATTTTTTGGTAGGTTTGGGTCGATGCGGCACAACAGATTTTCTTCTCTCTTGGACCGGGGTTTGGGGTACTACTTGCGTTTGCTAGTTACAACAAGTTCCACAATAACGTCTACAAGTAAGCAAACTTAAATGATAAATTATGGGAGTCCAAACCATAAGTAGGCCTACTAATGTCAAAACTGAATTTTACATATACCAAAAACGTTTGTACAGTCGGTTATGTAATTACATTCTTCGTGATTCTAACAACTAATGAAAGTCTTCCATATCAAAATATACTAAGATAAAGATCAGAATTAACAACACCATTTTATAACTGATTCATTTTACACGGGTATTAATGTGACTGAGGATTATGATATAAACACTACATTCTTAATAATGTGAACAAAAATTGCACCATTTAAATTCTCTTTTTATAATTCCAGAGATGCTATAGCCACTAGTTGCATTAACTGTGCAACCAGCTTTCTGTCAGGTTTTGTTATTTTCTCCATTCTGGGGTATATGTCTGCAAAAAGCAATATTCCTATCGACAAAGTGGCGACGGAAGGTAAATATGTACGTTTTAATCATATCAAAATGTTGGTATTTAACTCTTCATACCTGGCACCAGATCCTCAGTGATAAAAATAGGCGGTAACCATAAGAAAAAGGATCAAAGATAGAGAACAAACAATATGTGTAATGTCCCACGGATTCAAAAAGGTGTGCACTACAGCTTAAAACTCTATTCCAGCTACTGATGGTTTAATGTGCATGCGTTTCTAAAAGAAATTTACGTTTTACTCTGTAGGGCCTGGGTTAGTGTTTGTTGTGTATCCAGAAGCAATTGCCACTTTGCCAGGGTCAACATTTTGGGCTCTCATTTTCTTCATGATGCTTCTAACACTCGGTCTGGACAGTTCAGTAAGCAATTAAGTCTGTAAATACACAAGATTGTCTCACTAGATACAGATAAATGATAAACCGTATTTTAAATGTAGAAAATTCCGTATTCCCTATCCTTACCAGCATTTAAAAACACTTTACAGACGTGTTTAATATTTTAAGTTATAATTTTATGTGGGAACTCGCACACCTTTGTACTCGAACATGTCCAAATGACAGCGTGTATTTAAACTCAAAGGAGATCTTTTTGTTTCAGTTCGGAGGTTCGGAAGCTGTCATAACAGCCATCAGCGACGAATTTCCAATACTGCACAAGAAAAGAGAGATTTTCGTCGCAGTCCTGTTCAGTCTATACTTTCTCGTTGGCTTAGCAAGCTGTTCACAGGTAAGAACAATATTTTTACATTATGATCTCATTAGTTCTTTGAATCGTTATGATGGTAAGAAAAAAATAATTTTGATAAAAGTTATTTTTTTATTAATACTTGAGCTAATTTACATTTATTGTGCGTCTCTTGTAGGGTGGTGTCCTTGTCGTCCATTTAATGGACAGATTCGCAGCCGGATACTCCATAATGTTTGCAGTATTCTTTGAAGCAATGGCCATTTCTTGGTTTTATGGTAATCTTCTCATGAGTAAACTAAGCCAAACCAAATTGTTAACCCTTTTCTCTCAAAGGGTTTTGGGTGAATGTTTCACAGGTCGATAAATATATGTAATGCATGGACCTTTATATATTAATTAATAACAATGAATCACATTTTCAATAATTATAGTAAAATTCAAATTTTTTCAAATTAACAAATAAATTAATGCATAAATAGAGGTACAAAAAGTCAATCACAAATTCCATGGAGATGACAGAGAAAAAGAAAATGACAAGGGTAATTATTCCTATTCTCAATGAATTCAGGTGTGGACCGGTTCTGTGAGGACATCCAGGAGATGTTGGGATTCAAACCTGGCATATTCTGGAGGGTTTGCTGGATGTTTGTTGCCCCCATCTTCATCCTGGTATGATATTTTTACGTCTGTCTGTCTTTTTTTTTTTTTTTTTTTTTTTGACACAGGAGTAGACATTCCAGTGAAGTACACGCTCTTGAATAAGATTCCTAGGACGCAACTGTAGGCCTAAATTTAATTTTGTTCTATGAGTAAGAGTTACATAAATGTCTGTTTGTTATTTTTATTAACAAGCAACATTTGGTTTCAATTTCAGTTTATCATGGTATTTGGACTGGTAAAGTATGAGCCCCTCCAGTATGAGGATTATCAGTATCCTTGGTGGGCCAACATGATTGGGTGGTTTATTGCATGTTCTTCCATGGTTTGCATCCCCGCCTTCGCCATCTACAAACTGTATTCCACACCAGGCACTCTTATTGAAGTACGTTTATGTTTTTCAAAACAAATTCACAGATCTTGATTTCTTACTTTATATACTACAAATATTTAACAATTTCACTCTAACCCATTACCAGCAATGAAACATAGCCTATATGTTTTAGTAAAACATATATATTTTACATTTATCCACTTAGTTCCTAAGTCTAGTTGAGTAGTAGGGCCTATCAGTATCCCAAACATTCATTTTAAAGATACAGTATGCATTTTGAAAATCACCATTAAGATATAAGTCTGTGTCACTGGATAAGTCTTTTTTTATTATTTCAGCGCCTAAAATACTCTATCATCCCATGGAGAGACCTGCAGGAGACCCCTCACGCTACTGTAGATGGCGTAGTGATGACCAACGGGGGACACGTGACAGGAGATGTCGTCTAATGAGTAAAGGGCTACTCAATTTCTTCATGGGCGGTATCACGTGCACGTCGGACATTGTATATATGGTTTCAAATTCTTGTATTATCGTAGAGTTGGGTAACGCTGTACCCTTCGGCACGCACACACACAAAAAAGACAGTGAATGTTTCCACTTTGTCAAATATCGTTAAACGTCATAATTAGTGCATGATTTCCAAGCCTGGGGAAAAGAAATAAAAACAAATATTATGTTAAATCCAACAGTCACGTAGATGATGGTAATATCACTTGATTTATAACACGTGTTCCGGTCGAGGCTCAGCCTGAAAGTCGCAGTGTTTGAAATTTGGTAATGAAGAAGTCGTCGTCATTTACTGTTGCAATAATTTAGATGTTTCATACGTGATAACAATTTGAAAAAGGATGTTTCCGCAAGCAGCACTGGTTTTGTTGATTGAAGCAAATAACTTTATCAAAATATTAATCAAAAGATTACATGAGTATCTTTCCATGTCATATGTAGTAACCCAGTGGATATCTACGCCGATCTAGATCCAGCATGTTGTTTATAGGATGATTTTTGTGCACTAGTTTTATTTTTATGCGCATGGTCGCTGTTTATTCTCCCATTTGCATTGGATATGCTGTTAGATGTAAACAGAGCGACGCTGTTGTCTACATTTTGGATTTTCTACTGCCGATATTAAATTGTAAATACAAACAATTGTCAAAAGTATTATGTATATGAATGATGCTTGTATCATTTTTGTGTGATTGTCGCATGTGGCCTGAATTTAAAATCCCGGAAAAAAGTTTGTTGCATAATACACGTCAAGAACAGGGTAAGCATACTGTCATTGTATTATCCACCGCTACCCATGCCTGAAACGATTTATTATAACGGGTAAGGTGAGTAAAGAGTAGCTAAAAAACCATGATTGCTGTTATTCAGTGCTTTCGTTGTTCAAGATAGAATCTGATTAACAGGTTAGTTTTAGATACAGTAGAAAAAGATGAATGTATATCGTATTGTACTTAACGGTTGTACTTGTGCTAATACTTTTTTATTTTTCTTGTAATGAACGTGACGGGTAATAAATATGTATTGATTTCAAAGAAATGTATATAGGAGACTTACATTGCGGATATATATATGATGTATTATCAATTTTGTGTATGTAATAAAAATAAATGTTTTTCTTTATAGACAGAAAAGTAATGTGCTGTGTTATACATGACTAATCAAAGTTTAAAACCTAATGGTTTACAAAATGAAAACGCAAAGGGTAGATCAGTAGCCTCGGGTTAGAAGAACATTGATTTCTTTTGAAAATGAATTTCGGTTAAGCTCGTTCCTCTATGACTGTAGTTAAATTTAGCAGCTGACATCAAATTAAATGAGAACTAGTCAAACGGCGGGATCTTGCTTGGGTGGACTGAAGAGAGAGAGAAAAAGAGAGAGAGAGACTCCTCAAATAATTATGGATGTTAAAACGTCTGAGTGAAGTATTGAATACGATCACCTGTTGGACTGTATTGTCACTCCCATTGCAGCAGAGACGTGTTGCAGAAGGTGTGAATTACATTCATTTCTTTTCAACCTACTGCAATGGTCGTCCATCGCAACACGGCACATCCAATATAAACGCAATCATGATAAATGAGACTTACACCCCATTTCCATAGATTTTTAGATCGATCTATTCTGTGGGGAGTCTCACTAGATTACTGTCAGCTTGGCCGGCTTAAGCGTCTGTCCCGCCTACTAAAAGCTGTGAAGGGGTAATAAACTATGGTGTCCGCTCGGCTGACTGCAATTTAGCCTGAACCCCCAGGGAGTTAGGTCGATCTAAAACTTAATCTTTAGATCGATCTAAATTTCTGGGAAAGCACCCGTAGAGGTCTAAAGTTTGCATGGAACGTCAAAAAGTTCACGAAGGAGGGGAGGGGGCATCTTCAGAATTTTCAATGGCAGTTTATACAGACCCAATAAAAAATGATAAACAGAGCGATAAATAGAGCGAGACTGCGTTAGGAAACGTTTGTGGAAAAAATAAATAAATAATGTGATAATAAATATCTGAGCAAAAATAGGTGCAATCATTCTCACAGCTTAGTTTGATACAAAAGATCACCACGTGAGTCTTAAAATTGATATAGATTTATCGATATTGTAGTCCTTCATTCTTCAGGCTGTGAGGGCCTGCCGCTATGTCACTGAAAAATCTACGTTTTAAACACATGCCTGTCGACACCCAACCAATTCGCGGATACGGTCCTGTCATAGGCATAACTCTTAATTGAGAGACTAACTAAGCTGTATGTTTTTTGATTGTTTAAAATTGCTGACACGTCTTATTTCTTTAAATAATTTCATGTCTCCATTCTCTCCTAACCTTGTGCTAAGTCATATTTATAGTAGCCTGGGTAAATCACATTCAGTTGACCTTCGATGTTATCACTCAAATAGAAATTTTTAAAATTAATCTTCGAGATCATTGATGCTTAATTAGATTTATTATATTTGTAAGGTGTACCGTATTCACTGGAGCAATGACATAAATGGGAGAGGAACGAGCTAGATCGCGTGTAGCAGAATGAGAAAAAGCCAACCCATGCTTGCGAGAATTGTTTTGAGCAATCTCAACTGTCGCATTGCGGAAGCAAGTGGCTGTTGACGTCACGCCCGTCATGGCAGACCGGTAGTAGCACCACAATCGTGCGGTTCTCACAACTGGCAGTTATTGTCACGGAATTGAGGTTTATAGCCGTGATTAAAGTGACGTATTCGATATTTCTCATCCTAGAGTGTTGTGCTTTTTCACAAGCTTGGTCTGGGTAGATGGTTCTGAAGAAGAAAGTCATGGACGATTTAGGTGAGTACTTTGATTCTGAACGTGAGAATCCAGAGCACTTTTCCAGAGCTGCTTTAAACTTAGTATCAACTTTTATACCGATTTCCTTATTATAGCTGACCTTTACACGCCGATTTATTTACACTCAGGTAACCATTAAGCATAGACATATTGAAAGAACATATGTAAAAACTTAAATGCGAGTTCTACAAGATTACTCTAACTTTCTCCTGTGATAACCAGTAATGGAAGTATGCCCTATGTACTAAGTGCCCAAATAATTTTTTCACCATTGGCCAAGTTGTTGGTCATGGAGAGTATGCTTTAATCAAGGCTAAACCAAGGGACAAGGAATGCTTCGACATATTATGATAGAGCACTAGCTACAGCAAAAATACTATTGCACTGGCTGGTTTGCTTCAGTGCTAGTGCTTTTATCTCCACTATGTACTATACATGTACTCGTGATAATACAGGGAATTTGAGTACATTGGTTCAGTTCATTTACCACACATGTATTTTTCATAAGATGTTCTAATGATCAATGACAACCCAACAGGAAGGTAGACATGTAGTGCAAAGTATGTGCCAGTTTTGTGTTCAAGTTTGCAGTTAACTGCTTCATCACCTGCTACCAAAGCAGCACCAAGTAAATATTAATCTGAAGGAATAAAGCTTCTCACTTTTTCCACTTCTACTGTTTTTTATGCATTTTAATATAGGAATGGGACTTTCTTACAAAGTGTTGAAGTCTCAAAGACCCAAGGCTGCATTTGGCAGGCCTGCATCCAGGAGTGTCCTTTTCAAAAGAAAGAGACCTTTTTTAACTCAACTTCTGAAATGGCGTAGAACCTAGATGAAATTTTGACTTGAGGCATATCTTTCCCCATCCTAAAAAAAACAGTTTTTCCACCCACCCACCCCCACATGTGAACAACTTCATGAAACGGACATTAAAAATACAAAAATACATTATAACTATCATGAGATATGCTGCAAATCATGGAATTCTTTAAATGTAAATGGTAATCAGAAGTAAGGTTACTTTTGTTGTAGTTACATGTTATTACTACAGTTTATAACTAACTGACATAAATAATATGTCAGTATGATTGTTATGGAGATGGATATTTTTAAAACTGAAAACAGCGCATTTAGATATTTTTTATCTCAATTATTTGTGTGTATATGTATAAAGAAGCCCTTTTTTTGGTGTATGCTGCATATGTTGTCTAATTACAGTATGTATGATGCCATCAGTATAATTTTCAGTGACTTGACTCACCAATATATCTGGGCAATGCTGACCCTGTCCCCTGATGCCATTATTGTAACAGTTTTTAATTTTTCAGTTCTGATGAATTCTAATGAAAGTTCCAATCATGAATAAAGCCAAGACTGGATTTTAGCGCGACTGTCTTTGAAGATTTTTATTATTAGTGGAGACTGCTGCTGTAAGGGCAGTCAATTCGCAGACAGTGCTGCATTTTGTTTTGAGACTGCACCCCTTTTGTTTTTTGGAAAATATTCAGTCTGAGGAGAACTTATACATGCCATTATAGCTACCTACATCAGGAGAGGTGCAAGTAGAAGGAATTTATATCAACTGTCAGGCTTAAGTTAGCATTTCAAGAATGCAAGGTCAACATGGGGAACCTTTTTACCAAGGGCTCTCCACAGTTTACACTAAGTCAGAAAGCATAAACTTCAGCACTGTGCTTTCATCAAACAACATTGTTCCCATGGCAACCATACCTGTGGGTAACTGGAATGTTTACAGAAAGGGAATTGGTGTCATTACATTTGCCCTGTATTACATTAGATCATACAAGTCTATACAAAGAAAATATGAATTGATGAATCTCATTTCATGATATTTCTTTGTTGATTTTTGCCTGTAAGAAGTAACAGGTGGTTTTAGGAGATCAAATGAGGATGATTTCAGGGTTATTGAAAAAAAGGAAATTTAGTAGGTATTTTCTTTGTCAATTTTGCATGCAGATATGCTTTGTCAGGTGATATTGAGAACAAACCATTGGTATGCAAAGTAATAGAGATAGCAGTGTTTGTGCAGACTGCTGTCAGATTAAAATAGAACAAAAAGAATTGAATTGCTGGAAATAGAAGCATTTACAGCTCATTTATTTTTTTAATCATTATTGCCTTTTTTATCACTTTGATTTAAATCCGTGTTCTAATTGAGTTGCCAACTAGTCACTTTGTTTTGTTGATTTTGTTTTAGTAAAATAGCAGGATACCCAACGTGGAAGTAGCTAATGAAACAGTACTTCTTTTACTCTCTACCATAGGCCTTCTGGCTATTGAAATTGAATGGATTTTGTAACAGCTAGAAGGCCTCTGGTAGAGAGTGTTCGTCTTACTGTCATTTCCTGTGTAACTACCACTGTTAGTCATCATAATACATAAAGGCTTATGAATCTCATATGATATAGATCGTATAAATCTTTTGTTTTCCTTAAAATGTGCAAGTTTAGAAAGTATAAAAAATTAAAAGTTGCAACTTTATTGATGTGTCCCAGGGGCGTAACCAGGCATACGCACGGATGCACTGTGCGTACAATTTTTTGAGTCAACCATGATGTTATTCTCCAAAAATTCAGTGTATTTTTCACGGAATATAATCGTACCTGAGAATTTTCAAAATCTGTGCGTACAATTTTGAATGGTCTGGTAACGCCCCTGTGTCCCTACTAGTTTTTTCTGATTGAAACATCATTATAGGTTTGCACTGAAAACTACTATGCCCCCATCTGTAAAAGGAAGGAAAAATTACTAACAAGTTTGCGCTTTATTTGACTCAGAGTCTGGTTAGTCTTTTCTTAGTGGAAGACTAGAGTGTATCACACCTAGATAACATATTAAGTAATAGAATAGTACTATTCTTTTGTGCCAGCAGGATTCAGATTTTGCTGTTCTACTAGAAGAAATTGTTATTACTCTAAATTTGTTGCCTTTAATGCTGCCTCCTGTAAAGGATTCATTACTTATTTCAATTATGATATTAGACATAAATATATGCTAAATATAATCAATGTATTATGATGCTTTTAATTTGTGTTATTAAACCAACCCTTAAAAATAATATTATTATGATAATTAATTATCAGCGTGTTCTAATTCATGAATTATGTGTTTAAAACTGTAGATGTAGATGTAGATAGTGTCTCAGCGTGTAGTCACTGGAACAGGATGGCTCTTGGCAGGAGATCAGGCAGTTCAAAGCTGTGATTGGGACCACTTGAATGAGTTTTTAAAACCTGTAATTTTATTCTGTTTTTATTGAAAGTTTGTTGTAGTTTTAGGAGTTGGTTAATAAGATA